ATGTGCTTTCCGTTGTGTTGCAGTTGTCCATTTACTTCAAGACGCCTCAAGGGACCTGGACTAACCGGCAACCGCGTTACAATGAATGACGTTGTTACGAAGCAAAGTCCGTCTTTTCTTCGCTACGTTCCTTGTACGCGTCCCTTATTACTTCCCCAAATTCGAATCAGGAAACCAAATTCCTCTTTCCTTTCATCCCACCTATATATACCAAACCCCCACCTTCTTCTCCAATTCACAAGCCCAACACAACTCTCTCTCTCTCTCTCTCTCTGTGTAAGATCTTGCTGATCTTGTTCAAGAACTATCCAAAAATTCAACATGAATTCGATGTTCAGCTGCTTCGACGCCGTGTGCGCTGACCTACTCTTCCCCAAGACTCTCAGAACCTTTACCTCTTCTTCTTCGCAGCCAAACAGGGTCCTGATCTCGAACGACAAAGCTAAGACGGAGAACGGTAAAGGAAACAAAGAACCTACGCCGCAGAAGACGAAGAAGCAGCAGCAGAAGATCCGATCGGCGCCGGAGTTTGACGGCCTCAACTGCTTTGAGGCGATCGTTCGTTATTGAGAGTCTACGGATCGGAAATCTTCATTCTTTTTTTTTTTACGATTCTTTGGTGTTCTTGGTCGCAATATTTCCTTGTTCCTTTTCAAAGAACAGTTCCCAAATTGTAAAGAAGTATGAAAAAAAATCTGGATTAATTCAATATAATCATTCTTTTTGGTATTTTTTCTTTGTTCATGACCTTTTTATTTTTCGCTAATTTTGTTGTTGAGTATTGGAGATGTTTTTGTTGGAGCGAGACCAACACCAGACTCAAGATACTCAGAGAAAGCAGAATCAAAATAGAAATCGAAACACCAAGGGTTTACCGAGGTTCGGGGCAAGAAATTCCCTACGTCCCCGTTGAGCTCTCTCACGAAGAACTCGATACACTATCAAAGATTGAGTAATACACCCTCAGACCTCTCCGATTACAAGAATCTCACTCAAGAATACCACACAACCCAGAGATTACAATTTCCCCAGAAAAATCCCCAGAGAAAATACCCAGAAGAAAGAACACTCAATTTCTCTCTTGATTTTCTCAATCACAATACAGATTTTCCTCTCTCTGGAAACCCTAATCTCTCTTGCAGTTTTCTCTCTCCTTTTGTGGTCAAAGCTCTTCAATCTTTCTTCAGCCGAATGAATAATGAGCACTAGGTCGCAGACCCCTTTTGTTCCATTCTTTCACCGACTGTAACAAGAGATCTGCAGCCTTCACGTGTCATGATCCTGCGGCTCAGTGCTTCATCAGAGCTTCTAAACGCATTTTCGTTTATTAACTCATTTTCTGAGGGTGATGTGAAACTCATTGTCGTTCACTGAGATTATCCCAACAGTTTTCGATTTGTTCTTTGCTTTGGCTTTTGTCGAGTTTCTTTCATATTGTTTCTTGTGGAAGTTTCTTTCGTTGAAGTCGTCAGTACAAGCAGTTAATGAGCCTGGATTAACAAATACTTTTTAGATTGAGCAAATAATTTGGTTAGCCTTTGTTGAGGAATTATTGCCTTTTATTATCGTCTTTTTTTTTTGGGAAGGGTTTATCGTCTTTTTCCTCCTATTTCAAGTGTCATGTTTTGAGATTCTGGTTATTTCTATGACCATGCACAAATTCAATAATTTTTTTGTTCGACACTCTTGATGGAGAAGAAATCCTATGGACATCAATAAAATGAGTTGTTTTATTATATTCGAGTAATAAATATATGTAAAACGAAACTAAAATCAAGTACAAACTGGCTCATATAAAAGCTTTGATATAAGCACCCTTTTTATCTTCCTTTGGAAAACTCATTTGCTTCAATGTGAGCAAAACTCTTCGAGTTGTTAATGACACCAGAGCTTTCAATTTGGGCCGGGTCGTCTGCCTGGAGCCCGGCTCTTCGGTCCTGCTTTGCACAAACCTTCTGGGCCAAGATGGATCAAATATTTAGGCCCAAAACCTAATCAATCTGGTCCATGTCGGCAAATCGGCCGGGTTTCTTTTCCACACCGGGTCGGCCCAACCTAATTTCACCATTCCGTGCCCGAATTTACACCTATGCAAGACACTTGAAAAGCTTAGCTTTGAGATGCTATTGATGTAGCGGAAGATTAAAAAAGGAAAAATGAAATAATAAAAGTAAAAGATAAATCCTGTTGATTTACACTAAATATCATAAAAATTGATATGAAAACCGTTAATTCAGACAGAATATCAAAAATTAGAAGAAAATTAAGAGAATTAGGTTATGATTAGGCTTAAATTTTATCTTATTATAAATTAATATGTAAATAGATTACAATGATAAAAATAGTATAATGTTTAATAATACTACCAACTAAACACCATATTGTATAAAAATTATATAATGCAATATGTTGTAGGGTAAAACGCCGAACCTTAAATTAAACTTTGCATGGGACCCACATGCCCTAAATAAGAGCATTAAATGATCAAAGACAGCTCAGCCTAACTACCGCGTCAGTGGACAACTCTCTTAAGAGCCGACCGCTAGAAAAAAGTGTCAGGCATATGAAGAAGGTCGACTGCTCTAAAAGGATGCAAAGGACAACATGAAGCTAATCGTACCCGCAATCATAGACGAAGAAGCTTCTGAAAGCGTTTATGAAGTCGATGCTACACAAGAGATGAGATTTGTGAGATTTGCTTCAAGATTTGCTATTTGTGAACCAAATATATGAAATTTAAATAAAGAAAGCATCATGATTGATTGTAATCTCTATCTTTTAGGAAACTATCCTAAAAGATTAGGGAAATAACCCAAATTCAAATAGGAAAAGTTTATGGGAGGTGATTAAAGCTATAAATAAGAGATTATGAGTCAGAAAATTCATAAGTCTTATTCTGAGCATTAGTGCCTGTAATTTTTCAAAAGATAGTGAAATTTCTCACCTCCACGCAATAGATGTAACTCTCGAATTGAGAGTGAACCACTATAAATTATGTGTATTCTTGTTTAAATTTCACTTTAATTGTGTTTTAGATAATTTAATGCACGACAAACCATTTAAAAATTATTATTATTATGTTGACAAATTTTCACCTTCAACCTATGTAACTTATTTGAAATGAATTTAGAACCGTAGTATCATGCATTGTTATATTGAAAAATTACTACTGTATGCCTTTCTACCGATTTTTTTTTTTTTTTTTTTTGAAAAGTTTACTAATAAATTCAATTGTTGTTTCTTCACAAGGCTATGCCTATAATAAAAATATTAAAAAAAAAAAAAAAAAGGCATCGAGATGATCCTGACCCAACGCTAATGAGATTGTGACCAAAGGAGGGTTTACGCGGACTCGCTGGTGTGTGCCTTGTGGGATCTACAGTTATATACTATTAAAAAGGAAAAAGAAAAAAAAAATGTTATTCATGAATCGAGATATCGCACACGGCTGAGGTCAAAACCCGGACTCCACCCGAGTCGGAACGAATAAGGTCTCATTTATTTCACCGATTCGAGTTTAAAATTTGAGTTTTGCTACAGTAAAAAGATCTCAGAAACAGTCACACTTAATTTTTTTTACTACAGTAAAAAGCTCTAAGATAAAGTTACATTTTAACTCAAATTAAAAACTCGAATTAACGAACTAAAACGGACCTTAGTCTATTAAAATACATCTTTTTTAATCTTGTGGACCTCAGAAAACATGCCCACAATAAGGTTGGAATAATTGAATTTAAACAGTGGAAATAATCATAACTACTCCCCTAAAAATAAAAATCACAACCACGTACAACTGAAAGAAAGCGTGTGTATCATGCAAAACATGAGATGCCCATTAATTTGAATGTTTCCCTACCACAAATAAGCAATTCATTTGTCTAATGTCCCTATAATCTTTGGACTTGTGCGAAAAATGAAAATCACGACCTACTTTATTAGAAGTTCTCAAAAATCGTCGAATAACACAATTTCCTCATGTAGAAGTCCAAAGACCAAAGATTTTTCTGTTCTTTTCACTCGTGTTCACATTGTCTAACCTATCAAGAAGGTAGTCTTTGAGGAAGACTGGTGTCTATTTTCATCCATTTATTATTCATAGATGTGAACTTAAAGTTTTAGTCCTGAGCCGCCAACTATTTTCAATTTTGATCCATTGATTAATGTGCATCCCAACAAAAAGGCCAGTGTCAATGTCATATAGAGCCAAAGTTATATATAAACAGTGTCAATTTCAAAAGTTATCCCTTGGATGAAAATCAAATGTAAAGACGAAAATTGTGGTTCTTAAATAGTACACAACGAGACCATTTCAGCACAAAAATAAACAAATATATATAATTATTTGCCGGTATGAATAGTAATTGTCCACCTCAATCCAAATTATTATCCAAGTCAATTAAAGTCACTGTTCATGTCAAAATTTTACTTTGTAAATAGTGACCGTAAGTAATAAGTATTGTGTAAATAGTAAATCTTGAATACTATCGAAATTTTTTCTATAAATATAACTCTAATACTTCATTTTGTACACCTTCATGAAATTAATTAAATTCTCTCTAATTTCTCGCTCTAAAGTTTTCTTCTTAATTTTACATTTTCTTAATTTTCATAACATTTGCAACACAGAAATGAGAGTTGTGACGTTTCCTTCATTTTATTTTATATAAAAACAACGTTGAAGATGGACAACAATGTAAAAAGTCCTAATATATATATATATATATACACTCCAGGACCTCATGACTCTAAAATAAGACAGGAAAATAAATTAATAAATAATAAAATAAATAAATAAGAGATGCAAATTGCCTATCCAGATAAAACCGACAATGGTGAACTTTGCGAATAGAAGCTTAATAGAAACCACTAGAATATGATACAAGTTAGTGGTTGATACGATTAACAACGCTGATAGTAAATAAACATTCTGCCGTTCTCGTAACATTAACCATAAACGTATTTACGAAAATAAAATAAATTGAACAAAGTTTTGAATGGTATAGCGAAAAAGCGAATCAAAAAGAAGGTGAATATCACCGTTATTTTCCTGCCGCAGAAGATCTTGTAAGACATCAACTTCTATGAATACAATTACATGATATCTCTCTCTTTTTACCAATCTCTCGCTTCTTTCTCTTTTCTGTTCCTCTTTTAGCCAGGAATATCCATTCTATGGCTGTTTCCTAGCGCTCAAACAAAAGGGAAAAAGAATAACAATTTAATCTTCGTGACCGCAGATGAGGCAAATTTTTTTTTTCTCACTTTACAATGAAGAGGCTCTGATGGCCTCTGTAAGAACACTACCAAAAATCAGTCTAGATCACAACCTTCTTCCTCCGATATTTGCAAATCTTCGGGCGATACCGAAGATAACTGCTTTAGTCAATAGTCCCCGGTCAAGACTGCAGGCAAGTAGAACGGCCCCACCAACAACAAGAAGTTTAGGTATGTTCTTTCCTTCTTGTTTTCCGGATGAGTTCGGTCTTTCGATCCCTGTTGATTCCTCAGAATCGTCTTCCAAAGACCTCAGGTAGTCTGCACTCACTTTTGTATTGATCTGAGCCATGAAAGCACAACGTGAGAGTGAAGCTCCGGAGGCTCTCTCTTTCTGGTACTTGCGTAGGCCGGGGTCAATCTTCTTAACAGCTCCCCACATACCCTGTTTAACTCCAAGTTTTGCAATTTCCCAAGGTATTCCCATATCCTCATGGTGAAACAGTAAAACCTCACAGGCAGTCAGCTGGCCGTCCCCTCTCCTTGATTCAACTGGTTCATATAAAGTAAAAGAAACTTTATCAATCATTCTGTTGTTCCAAAACCTTAAATTACTAAATTATCACAGGAAAAAAAAATGAAAATTTTTGAGACCGAAGACCACACCAACAGAAGGTCCTTCACTTGGAAAAAGCCAAACCCCAGGTTTCTAAAGGTAGAGATGACAAAACAAATGGGCTAAATTTCAATATTAGAATGAAATTGAGTGAATAATAAGATCGTTACCTGCGCGAATGCACCAACTTGAATAGTATAAATCAACACGCCTAGGTTTGTTGCGTCTAGGAACAGAATTGTAGGGTACTCCCTGGGACAGTTCAAAATATATAAACACGTTAATTCCTGAGCTGGTAACACTTCATAAATGTATTGCTAATCCTAGGGACTGATACTTGTGCTCTGGACTGGAAAATAACTTTTCCATTTCCCAGTTGGGACTCATTTACCAAAACACCAGCATCAGTGTAAAAGTTTCGGCTACATATGAGAAAGTTCCCATACCCATAGACAAAACAAGAAGAAATCCAAAACGCAAGTAAGATGATAAATAGAGCATAAACTATCTTTTTCCTTCTAATACCTTAGTCACACAGTAGTATGAACGTCCCGATTCCCAAATACGGCGGCCTATCAAGTATTCTCTGTCGCTACAGAAGAAGGGGAACTGTCCCAGAAAAGAAAACATTGCAAAGATATTAGCCAAAGGCATAATTCTTGCATCACTCCAACAAGCAAAAAAAAGTTCTTACCTTTCGCACCCATTGCACTACTATGGCTCCCGTGGTCGGGCACTCCTCTAAAGTAGAAGCATGTATAAGCATGTCATCCCACTTCATCCGAAATTCATCATCCCAAAAGAAATCTCTCACCAACTCAGGTGTAGCATCCTCAAACACTGTTCTGCTACGGTATTGTGGAGGTCCAGTCTATCAAAGACACCAGAACACCATCCAGTCAATCACATTAACGAATTGCACAAAGAATTATGCATCTCACCCAATAAATTACACTATTGTCTATACTCCCATAAATTTATTCTAGAACCAAAAATTGTCAAACTATATACTTCTAGGATTAAGAGAATGGAGGCTCTAAAGCTACCTCAGGATCTCGACGCCAAGCTTGGTAGCCCATAGTTGGGGTAGAACGATCCATCATCTGAATCCAAGAAGGACCTCCATCTTTCTCCTCAACAAGCCGACAAAGGTGCTCCAAATCTTCTCCCGTTACAAGTGAGGAACTTTCTCTGTCAAGCTGTGAGGAACTGCCAAAAGCAAAAAAGAAATACAAACAAGAACTCATTAGAACTCAACCAAATTGTAAAGTGGGTTTTCAAACTACTTCCCTTGCTTCTATCCTTACACAATCTTAACTAAACAAATATAACCGATAGCAAAATCCGAGCTAATTTTATCAAATAAGTCAGGAAAAAAATCAAACTAACCAAAATAAAACATAAACTCCACAGATTCAGCTAAATTGGAAAGTGGGGCTTTTAAATCACACCCCCAGATTCTACTCCAACATAATCTGAGGTCTTAATCAGAAAACATAACAATTTGAGATTAAATAGAAGAGTTATCGAATAAGTTGGAATTTGTCAACGAACCTGCTATCAGAAGAATTAACCGGAGCTGGCAAGGAAAGAACTTTCTCTTGAACCCCATAATCAGAAATCCAGGGAATGCAACTCGGCAACTGAAATTTCAAAGAATTCAAGCCCGGAAGAGAACCGAAACACATGGACGATGTTAGCAAAGAGGAAGACGACGATGAAGAAGAAGTTTCTTGTTTGGACACGGAATAATCCGCGATGTCTCTACCGACCAAATTGGCCCATTTGGGTTTCCATGCCCAGCCAACAAGAACCCCAACGAAAACCGCAATCCACAGAGGCGCTATGAAGAAGACGAGCTCGCCCAAAACCTCCACTATCGTCGGTCTCCGAAAAATCTCCAAAAGAACCGAAACCACGGCCATTTATTTCTCTGACGAAAAATTCCCCCAAAAAAAACAAAATAAGCAAAACAAAACGAAGAAAAGGAAGAAGAAAAAAACCCTCGATTGAATCGGAAAATGGTGTGTTCGTTTAAGCACAGCGATTATTCGAGGGTTTCAAAGAGAGAGAAGAAGAAGAAGAAGAAGAAAACCCTATCTCCAAAGAGATAAGTCCCAACAAATAAAATTTCCCGAAAATATAAACCAAATAAAATAATATAAAATAATAAAATTGGTGAAGATGAACGAGTGAATAATGAATGACGAGATTTAGATATGGGTTGCGCAGAGAAAAAACACAGAGGAGAGAGAAAGAGAAACAGACAGAAGTGTGGATAAGATTTCTGAGATTAGCGGTAGAGAAACGCATAGAGGAGATTACCGTAGGCCCAACGATTTGCTGTTTGTGGTTTTCCTCGGAACCAAACAGGCCTCTACAGATGGCGTAAAAAATCACGGTAGAGAGTAAAAATCACGGCAGAGAAAAGGGCTATTGGAATTGGAATCCACAAAATTGAATTTAGAGAGAGAGAGTGAGTTCTGTTGACATTTATGCGTTATGGGATGGTCAGTACTTGTGGTGTCGACAGGACTTTATTATATAGAGATGTTGTTCGCCGCGTTCTCGTTTCCCACGTTGGATTTTGTATTCTTTATTCTGTTTTACTGCTTTACCTTTTTTCTTTTTAATCTTTTTTTAGTTTGTACTATAAGACTTGGGTATTAAAAGAAAAAAAAATAGATTTTCTTACATACGTTAGAATTTAGATCAAGTATTTTAACTATTAAATTTATATTTTTAAAATTTTTATGTAAATTTATATAAATTTAATGAATAAAAAACTTAACGTATCATAATATGTCCCCATAAAATTACTTTTACGGTATAAATAGTTTTTTTTATCTATTAATTAGTATTTTTTAACAGTTATATTAAATTTTTAATGTTTAATCTATAAATAATGTGAACATTTAAAATATTTATAAATTTAACGGTTAAAAAATTAATTTAAAAATTAAAAAAAACGTTAATATTTTATAATTTAAAACAAATACTATTTTTTTTTTCATTTTAATATCTGCTATAAAAAAAGCTAAAACCTAATCTTATCCGGTAGTAACAAAATGTCCGTGAATTTCTATTTGTGATCAGTATTTTGGATTATATCTCAAAATCAGGATTCGACGGTTTAGAGATTTTCTAGTTAGAAATATTTTTTTTCCTTGCATTCCCGTCATAATTCCTTCTTATTTATAAATTTGTCCTAGCCAATTACCTTTTACTTGTGTCTATTTTTATTTATTGTTTTTGGAATTGCACTTTATCTTCTGTTGTAGTTAAACGTCTATATATAATTATGAATTCGTATCAACTTCAAATTATTATAACAATTCATTAAATTAAAATATATACATGTGAATATTTGGGTTGTTAAAGTTATTTTTATGCCTTAGTTGTTCATATTTTAATTAGAAAATTATGGTTCTGCCCCGTTTTGAGGTGTTTTATTAATTTACAATAAACCACTGCCTTTATTGAGTGATAAATTTTGTATTGTGAATTGTTTTTCTTAGGCTTTTTTTTTTCAATAACTGCAAAACCACGTATGACGTTTGGTTCATGGATTCAGAACTATACTCATTTTGCATGTATTTTTTGTGAGAAAAAATACTGTAGTGAGCCACGAACCATGATTCAAATCATAACACGAATCTCCCTTCCAAACGCTTAAGCAAAACATGGAAAATAAAAAAGAAAACATCTTTGTTTATTAGTATAAGAAAGAAAAAAATAAGCATGTTGTAGGAGAAATAAGAATTACCAAAGAATATTTACGATAACACATAATTCTGAACCATCCTAGCATGCTAGAGTCATATCAAATTGAAATAAATTATAACAAATTTAACACAATTTAGTAAAATTTAATAATTAAGAATGATTTTTGCCCCTAATATATTTTTTGTCACCCTAATTTTTACATCTATTATGGTTGTTGAATTTTCATTGAATTTGTGAGATAATATACTTGAACACGTTTTTACTAAGTCTCTCAACATATAATGTAAACAAGAAAAATGTAAAGCCTTGTAATAATAAATAATAATAAAAAAAGTGAGAATTCAAATCCATGCCCGGTTCTATCTTACATTGTCTTTGGTATGAGGATTTATGTCATGATTCAAATCATGATTCATAGTTCACTACATTATTTTTTCTTATAAAAAATACACGTAAACCGAAAATGATTCTGAATCCGTGAACCAAACATCCACTGATTCTACTTATGGCCTATGGGAGTCTTGTTATGCTCACAATTGACAGTTGCATCTCATCATGCCTCATCCGCCTATTTTTATTTCAAATAAAAACAAAAATAGAAATAGAATTTAAAAACTACACATTTTAACTTCTTAAAATAATTTAAAATATATATTTATTTATGTGTAAAGTGTTTTTGTGCACCTTTATCAAATATTATAGTTGCATCGTTTATTGTGCAGAGTACTTTTGAGAGTTTCAAAAGCAATCTCAAACACACCCTTAGACAATATTCACAAATAGAAGAGATAATGGGCTATCTAGGGCATCAGAGTAGCTTGTTAACGAGCTATTGACGGGCCTATTTTTTCAGAAATAGTAGAAAATAGGCCAATATGAAAAGCTTAAGAAAGTATATAGGCCAACTTTTAGTTATATAAATTAATAGGTCATAACTTGTCAAGTTATGGTTCATAACTAGATAAGTTATGGACAAACTTGTCAAGTTATGGTTCATAACCAGACAAGTTATGGACGAAAACAGTAATTTGGCCTATTTATTAACTTATGTAAACTATTGGCCTATTAATTTTAATTCATCTAAAGTCTTGGCCTATTTCCCTCTTTCTCCCAACGGAAATAGTAGAAAATAGGCAAATATGAAAAGCTTAAGAAAGTATATAGGCCAACTTTTAGTTATATAAATTAATAGGTCATAACTTGTCAAGTTATGGTTCATAACCAGATAAGTTATGGACGAACTTGTCAAGTTATGGTTCATAGCCAGACAAATTATGGACAAAAATGGACAATAACTTGTCAAGTTATGGTTCATAACCAGATAAGTTATGGACGAACTTGTCAAGTTATGGTTCATAGCCAGACAAATTATGGACAAAAATGGACAATAACTTGTCAAGTTATGGTTCATAACCAGACAAGTTATAGTATAAAGGAAATTAATAATGAAGGAAAATGAAAATCCATGGGCCTACCAATTTTTGATCATTCTAATTTTTGGAAGAAAATAAGAGGAAAAAAGTTTGACAAACAAATGAGGCATAAAATAATAATTTTAATATTTACTATTCATCATATTTTTATTTGTATTAAGTATTATTATAAAATGCCTTAGATATGACATTTTCTTTTCACTTTTATTTCTACTCTACCAAACAATGTGAGAGAAAATCCTAGTTCAACTATCTTATTTCCTTCACCTAGGTATTTTACTTCTCATTCATTCTTCTTTTCTTTCTATCATAACAAACATAGCATAAATGATGATGTGGATGGCTAATTTTTGGTCCGTTTAGTTCGTTGATTCGAGTTTTTAATTCGAGTTGAGATATGACTTTATGCGAGAGCTTTTTACTGTAACAAAAAAGTTAGATATAACTGTTTCTGAGAGCTTTTTACTGTAATAAAACTCGAATTATAAACTTAAATCAGTAAAATGAACAAGGCCTTTGACTATTCAAAAACTAGAGTACAATAGTTCATGTGTCTCCTTAGTCGTGTTTCTTTGTGTATCCCCTAATAAGATCATATCACACCAGTTAAAATATTTTACATTTTTTAATTTTTTAATTGACGTGATATGAAATTTTAATTAACGTAATATTTTTAATTGATATAATAATATTATTATTAGAATGGCATAAAAAAAAAAACACAAGTATCGGTTCTTAGGAAAATATGACATTCATAAATTCTATAAATCTTCAACTCAACAACATCAGCAACAACAACAAAGAAAGTTGTAGTTTTCTCAGCAAAAAAAAAAAAGGAAGAAAAATGTAGTGAACTTGTAAATATAAGTGCTTACAGTAAGGAAATGTGACACCGTCCAACTTTTTTTTTGTTTTTCTTTTTTGCTAATCGTCCACTTGCACCTTTTGCTACAAAAGTACAGCATCTGAAATTTGACTCGCCACATGCACTTCATTGAACCTTTCGAACTGGACGCGCGTTAATATTTCTGACTAGCAAATTTCAAATTGACCCCTTTTTTTAACAACCTAATCAAATATTTCCTAATTCTTTGATTGACCAAGAGGCAAGAGACATAATTTGGTCATTAGACTAATTAAATAGAAAGCAAGAAACTGTTAATACGATGTAGTTTTTCTATTTTTGGTCAAGGTTTCAACTATTGGACTTGCAAGTTTTCAGAGAATTCTGCATTCCGGTGGAATTGACTTTTTCCATTTTATGAAATGGGCATAGGTAAACAAATCTCACGCCAGGCTGCTTACACTGGAATTGAGATTTTCCTATTTATAATTTATTTTATAGTTTTTTTTTTCTTGTAATATGCATTAATAGAATTCGCTAAATATGTATATCTTTTTTTAAGAAGAGAATAAAATTTTAATATGATGCAGCCGCCTGCCTAAACCCGAACCAATCTACACATCCAAGTGTATCAACATTAATTAAATTGAATTATATAAAAGACGATATTAAAAATTTCAAGGTATTTTTTTTTCTTTTCTACACTAAATAACAGTGACAAATGATATTAACAAAATGTAACTTCTTATGAATAAGTTTAGGGCAATTCTACGGTGCAACCCTCAATTTTACTCCATCGGTGGAGTTCTGCTTTTTAATCTTTGGATTAATTTTTTAACGGTTAAATCTTTATAGTTCCGTACAAATTTATAGCAACGTCACACAGAATTATTATTGTTGCTGCATATCTGACCGTTAAAAAATTAATCCAACGATAAAAAAGTAAGACTCCACAGATGTTTTTTTTTTTTTTTTAGTTTCACCGTAGAGGTTGCTGTAAGTTTAATAATTATATAAAACTACAAATCACTGGTACTTAATATAAAAAATTTGATAAATAACTTAAAATTTGTATATCATTTAGGGTTAACGTCATAAATGGTCCTTAAAGTTTACCCTCTATCTCATTATGGTCATTGACTTTAAAAATATCACACAGTTAGTTCTTAAAATTTTATTTATTTATTTATTTTATTTCGGTCTTTCTATAGTAAGATGTTAAATATTTGACAGAATATGTAGAAATTAGAGACCAAAATTAGAAACATCTGAAGTTTAGGGTCTAAAACAATACGAAAATAAAAATTTATTTTTGCATGCAATCCTTAAATTTTAACTGTTTTCAATTTGGTCTCAAATTTAGAGCGTTTCCAGTATTTAATACCTAGTTAATGAAATGACCGTAACTGAAATAAAATAAAACTTTATAGACTAATTATGTGACGTTTCAAAAGTCATGAACCAAAATGTAATTGAGACCTTAAAGACTATTTATGAT